TGGTATGTGGAGCGAAGCAACTCCTAATGGGGAATTGTGCTGCAGTCCTCTGTCTTCCATTTCTCCTTCCTGTCAGGATTTGGGTCATACATGTACATGTGCCTGGTGTGTTTTTTTAGTCAACGGAGGCAGGATTCAAACCACAGTTAACCATGTGGGATCCAACTTCCTGTGCACTGTGCTTAACTGCTACACTATGGGCTGGTCCGTGACTATTTAATATACTTAATGAATTACTTAGATCAGTGACTAACACATTGTTAGCGCTTAATATGTGCTAGATGTTATCCTAAAAAATATCTGTATCATTATGTTATTATTGCTTTTTTCCCTCAACCTCATTGACCTGTACATTCCTATGTTAACCAACTCTACAGTTCTCAGGCACTTAGCAGTCACTCAACAAAAAATTGTTAAAGCAATTAATGAATAAATAGATGCTGAGAAAATTTTTATACTTTATAAAGCCCCTTGAAATATTACCTCATTTCTTGCACACCAAACAAAGTTATGATTGATTCATTTAAAACTTCACAGAAAGAAAATAATTATTTTCTGATATAATAAAATCCTCCCCAAACTTATCTCTCCTTCTTGTCCCTCTACATTCACACACATATGTTTATGCCACTTTACTTACTACTTAGTGATTGAAGCTATAAAAGGCCAGAACTGACAATGCCTATATATTTCTTAATATGAGAGGAAGAAGCAGACAAACATTCCCACTATTTAGCAAAAGAAAGGAAATTGGAAATTTATGCACATGCATATATTTTATGAATGTATTATCTGTGAATAGGATAAAATTTATTTTGAAAATTAAAAAAAATGTAACTCATAAATAGTAGCTTCATGTGATCCCAGACATGGCTCTTGAATGTCTCCAAATTAATTTAGCACTTTATTTAAAGATTATTTCTGTGAACAGGCATCAAGATTATTAGTCCTTTCTGAAAAGGCAAAATTATTTGGAGAAGTGTGTATGCTACTGAGCAGATCAATGTCTTCTCCGAAGGCTAAGCTCACAAACCCATCACAAAACAATAGAGACTTTCTCTTCCACTCTAATATCAAGTGATTTCTACAAAAGGCCATAATGTCAATGGCAGAATAGGGTGCAGGGGTGGAAATGAGATTTCATTGTCACATAATGTTTTTATGTGATATACAGTGTGCATGATGCAAATGCCATGCACAGGCAGATTTCCAGAGTTCAAACCTAATATTAATTACAAAGAGTTGCTGAATACTCATAGTAAGCAACACAAAGTGAGGAGCATTTTTTAAAATATAATGCCCAAGGTAATTGTCATGACAATCTGCAAGGGAGACAGAACAGTTATCCACATTTTACGAGTACATAAACTCGGGCTCAGGGAGGTTCAATAACTTAACCGAGATCACACCGCTGGAGTAGTGAAGCCAAACTCTGAACCCAGATAATCTAACTTTCAAGCCCATGCTTTAAATTTTAGAATATATTGACTCAGAGAAATCAAAATAATCCTAGATGTATTGCTATAATTCAATATGATATTATAAAGGAATGTACCTCTTGATTCTGAATTTAACAGCACCCTGCAATTGTAAGATGCTAAGTACAGTGTCTGACATAGACTCCATATACAAATACACATATGTCACCAGATGGTACCTAAGTTATACCTATTTTTTGCAGAAATTATACATAGTAAGGAAGAATACAGGCTTATGAGTCAAACAGGCTTGGATTTGAATCATTGTTCTGCTACTTTCTGGGAGTGTGACATTTTTGAATTTCAGTTGCTTTTTCTGAAATACGTGGCTACAAATACTTGCTATAAAGTAGTAGCAAAACAAATTTTCGAGCATACACACAAGTATATTATTTACATATCTTTATATACATACATATTCATAACTAGAGATATGTTTACTTACTCCATGATAAATTTGAATGTGTATTGTATAAGTTCTGTACCCAGAATAGGAAACCAAGATACAGAACAGGATATGACCATGATCATGTCATTTGCGAATGACAAAGAGAGGCCACTGAAATCAAGTCTTCAGAATTCAGGTTGAAGGTGCATTAAATAGAGGTTGTTTACTAACAAATTATTTTTATTCATACTGAATTGCTAGAGTTCTTTTTCAGAAGAAAATTCCTCTTACTCTGTCTGTCTCATCCCCTTTCTCCCCTAAAGGTAGTTCTGTAACACCTAAATACTTTCAGGACAATTTACTATTTCTTTAGAAAGGCTTGAAAGCTTTTACAAGTGAAATAACTATGGTATATAAAACTTTCAAGATCACTTTTCTTTTCCATTCAGAAATATAAAAGATATATAGTATGTTTGTTCTAGCTAGGTAAAGTACATTTAGATCAATGTATTCTTATCTTTCTAGTTGATGTCATAATTTTACCAAATGGATTTCAATGAGGCTGAAAAATGCTATCTTTGTATTAAAAACATGTTTATCTGACTATGGCATTGTATAAAGGCTAATATTAAGAGCACAAATATTTAAAAATATGTTTTGTTACTTTTCTTTTTTACTTATAGCTAACTTGGAATTAGCAATATCATTAGAGGAGAAAAATTGGCACAGATAACTCAAAAAATGGAAAATAACCAATTTCCAGATTACTATATTTGATTCTGTAACATTAGGGCTGCCTAGTGCCAAAACAAACATTTTAAGTGTAAACAGCTCAGTTGATCTACTTATCTGATTTAAAATACATTCGGGAATATGAGTTGTTTAGTGAATTTCACTAGCAAACTATACTTGTAGTGTTTTTCTTTTTGTGTTTCCTTTTTAATTTATGACAACTTCGGATAATTGTATTAATTCATATCCTTGATCATGCTTCAGCTAAATGGAGGAGGGAGAGTAGTGTGTTTGCTGACAGAGAAAAACTGTCTAAACACTGGTGGAAAATGGTCTAGGAGAATGAACTGAACTGTGGAAAAACTTCACTTTAAAGAGAAACCCTGTCAGCCTTTATCTTTTTTTCTCCATACCTTCTGCTTGATGATCATCTCGTTGATGTCTTCGAGATCACCCACCATTACTCTCTGTGATTTTAGAACTCGATCGAGCAGAGAAAGCCAGTCGGTAAGTTCTGTCCAAGCTCGGTTGAAATCTGCCAGAGCAGGTACCTCCAACAGCAAGGAAGATGGCATTTCTACTTTGAAGATGGCAGTTTCCTTGGTAACCACAGGTTGTGTCACCAGAGTAACAGTCTGACTAGGAGCTAAAATTTTGTGTGTGTATGCAAAAAGAAAAAAAGAGAGGAAAAAAAATTAGAAACACAAGTTAAAGAAGCTATTTCAATGATAATCAGTTTTAATCAAAGGGCAACAATATAATCCAAAGCATGATTAGACATTAGATCTTTTTCTAATAGTGCAAATACTTTATATAGTAATATGTAATAGACCATTTAAAGACAAATTTTCTTCAGTATACATTGAACAATCTATCAAAATGATTTTTTTATTCTCGTGCCTAGACAATAATTTTAAAACTCTTTTTCAATAACAATGATATAGATTGCAGAATTGGTAAAGAAAACAAAAGTTTTTGGACTTTGACAGGTGAGTAACTTTTACTAATTTTTTTTTTTCATTCAAGGAAAAAAGAAAGCAAAGCTAAAGGCTGGATAAGATCTTTCTTTCTTTTTAATTTTGTCAGAGGATATGTGGACTCACTGGAGACAGAAAGCGAGGGAAAGTGAAAATGCACCTCCCATGGAGAATGGTTATGTGTGAATCTCTTCTTCATTTCTCCCTCCTTTCTGGATTTTAGGCATGCAAAAACAGGTACCTGGCATTTGTCTCAAACTGCTGGGTCCATGAACTACACAATCAGCCATGTGGGATCTGGATGCCTTAACCAATAGGCCCTGGAGCCAGCCTAAAATCTTATTTCTGATTTTTTCGTTTGTTTTAATTTGTTGGAAGGTTCATGTGTTCTTGGAGACAGAGAGGGTAAGTAGCAAAGCACCCCTAATGGGGGGTGGTCATGAAGCAATAGCCTCTCCATTTCTCTCTCCTTTCAGGATTTTGGACATGCATATACATGGGCCCAGTGTGTTTATCAAGCTGCCAGGTCTGAGACTTGAACAGCGCAGTCAGCCGTGTACGATCTAGCCACCTTAACCACCATGCCACTGGCTGGGCCATGATTTTCATGTATAGGGAAGGAAGAAAATTACTAGGGAGGTAGATTCCAGGGAAAGCAAAGCCAGTTAATTGTTCTCATCTTAGTTCTATTTCCTGGGAACAGTTCATATTTTCTTTCTTTTATTTCAGATTGGAAATAACGGATCTAAGAGTGAGGAAAAACTAAGGTATATTGTTTTTGGAATACCAGAACTAGTAAATTTGGACATTAAACACTGCTTCAAGTTAATTCAGACATTTTAAATTAATATTAATTCATTAATACTGTAGTGTAAAATAGCACCTGGCAATGGTTAAGAGCCAAAGTCCTAGGATAAAAATGCCTGGCAGAGAATACTTTGTCTACCGTAGGATCTCTGAGACTTTGGTTAAGTTGCTTTACCTTACTGAACTTCAGATTTTCTCTTCAGTAAAGAGGAATAATAATAAGTAAATGTCATAGTGGTAGTTGTATAAATTCAATGAGCGATACATGCAATGTACATACAACAATGTCAGAAATATCATCCTCTTCCTAATCATCATCATCATCACAAAAACAATATTGCACAGTGCTGGTCACAGTAGGTAATCAATAATGCTCAGTATTACTATACCTATAAATGCCTCATTACTAAAAAAAAATTGTGATAAATACTGTGAAAAGTTGGAGATAAAGGACAGGAAAAAAGTGGAATACTTGGGGAAAACCCAGTGAGAGGTCTAGGTGTGACCCTTATTGACTGTAGGAGGCTCCATTGATGTGAACTGATACTATTACATTCTCAGGAAAGTCATGATGCATTTTTGCACACAAAAAATATGTCATGACTTTCCCAAATGACCTAGTAAGTATCAGCACAGAGAAGAGTTATTAGAAGGGAGTGGTGAGGATGAATGCCTATCTAGTTTTTCTATATTGGCCTTTAGAACATAGTATAACCAGGAAACCTATGACAAAGAAATACTGGACTATGTAGTTCAGAAGGGAAGCTTTCAGGAAAAACTACAAAAGACAACATCTCAATGGGACAACTTGGAATCATGGGCAACTATTCTGGGAACATGAACAAAATGCACCATGCTACATTAATTTTTATGGTTGCATTATTGTTTGTACTTTTTAAAAAAATTACTTATTTCATTTTATTTATTATTATTATTTATTTTTTATTTGACTGGAGAGAAAGGGAGAGAGAGAAAAAGGGAGAGTGAAAAAAGAAGCTGCCAGGTCTGGGACTCAAACCATGGTCGAACCCATACACATGGAAGTCCAGTGCCCCAGCCACCATGCCACCTGCAGGCCCCTATTGTTTGTACTTTTAAGGCTGTTCCCTCATTAAAGATAAAGATGAGCAGGATGGAGAAATTCTTCTCATTTCTCAAGCTTCTCAGGGATACCACCATGTTTCTATAGATGGAAGAATTAACCTTGAGCAAGGCAGAGAAGAAGAATCAAAAAGCATTTGAAGTGTCAGATAGAATTAAAAAACTAATGCCAAGAAGTAATGACTGAAAGACAATAACACTGAGACAACAAAGAAGTTTTGTTTCTTGAGCCTATTTCACTATTCTGACGTTCTAGAAAGAACAAAATATAATCTGAAGCAGAAATAGCATCTTGTGATCAACAGTTCAGGAGGAGGAAGCTTGGGAGCAAACGAGATCTCAAAATCTTAAAAGGGATTCCAGGGGAGGAGCAGAATCCCTGGAGAGGATACATGTGTGAGGATGAAAGAGAACTAAATTAAAATATGACTATAAGAGCTAACTACAGAATGCCAGGCTGGCTGGAAAACATGGACAAATTATTCCTAAAATAGATACACAATGAATGAAGACTGAGACAATATACAGCAGTTTTGGAGGATTTTTAAGGTTACACAGAGTGTTAGACAATTTTCTTTTTTTGCTTAACTTATTGAAAATTTGACCCTCAAATGAGAGCAAGACTGGATTCTTTTCTCTCTAGACTTACTTCTGACCAACAAAGAAGTACCTATTTAATTGAAAATGATCATGTCATCTTAAAATGTCAGGAAGGATGGGGCCAGCAGATGGCATAGCGGTTACATTGCTGGACTCCCACATGACTGACTGCAGTTCAAGTCCCGGACCCAGTGGCTTGAAACTCATGCCAGGCACATATGCTTGCGTGGCCAGGATCCTGGGAGGAAAATGGAGGAGAGGGGATTGCAGCATGGTCAACCTCCCTGGGGGGTGATTTCTCACTTTCCATCTCACTGTGTGTGTGTGTGTCTCTCTCTCCAGTGAGCACATGCACCGTAAGGCCAAACCTTCTAAAAAATAAATAAATGTTGTAAAGGATGAGAATTCAGACAGACTTCAATAAACAGATCACTGTTTACTGGAAAGCACTTTTGGAAACAACAACAAAAAAAATTCACTGTAAGGAAAAGTGAGGACCTGAAATGCAATGAGGGAAAATGAATCAAGATAACTAGCAAGTACCCAAAAGGGCCTTGGGGTGATAATATCAGAAAACTCTCCAGTGAGGAAAATGAAGCCAGTATCACACACACAGAAATCAGCTGAAGCAGATTCAGAGAAGGGTTGAGAGGGAGAGAGAGCAATATAGCCATCTGTGCGTTTGTTCATTTCTGCTCTCCTTTTCTTCTGGTGTTCAGCATCTGAGAACAGTTCTACACCAGGGAGAAACTCTATCTGTCTTGCTTACTGCTCTCAAATTTTGAGAAGACAGTAATGTTGGAAGGCATTGCTGGGGCCAGACAATAGAAGATCAAATATTAAAAAGGAAAAAAATAGAGCCAGTCAGTTTATTTGTTCCCCCTTTGCACACTCAATTTTATATTACAGGAGAGAATGAAAGGACCTGGATCAGCAAGCAGAGTATCAAATGGTTGGACTTTCTAGGGCCAGAGTATTGGATTTGAATCCTTGTTCTGCTATTTCTTAGCTGAGCAACCTTGGGCAGGTGACTTAACTTCTCTGAATCTCCACTTACGGCCCTGTAAAATAGCAATTCTGATATTATTTCCATCGAAGATAATGAGCCTTACTATTACTATTCCTAGATACATGATCTTGTTGCAGGCATTTTGAGATAAGGGATTATGCCATGCTTGCTAAACTGAGTATCTCCAAGTCCCAGCATCTTTACTTGTATAATGGCATTAACAAAATCAACCTCATAAACTTTCCCAAGAATTTTATGATATAGGTAAGTCACTTTCCAGTATTGTTCTGACAGCATCATGTGAGCCTTTTTTCTGTTGATTTTCCTTTGAGGCTCACACAATGTTTATTGGTTCCTAATTTTTCCAAATTCGTATGGTCCTCTGGGCTCTGTACAGTGACCCAGATACCACACTCCAGCATTCATCTCCTTCCATTCTTCCTATGCTCTCCCCATACTGCAGTCTCTGTCCTACAGTCTCCAATTAGCACAAAGGCCCCTTGCGCTCTTTCATATTCTCTCTCTACTTCTTGAAAACGTTTCTTTCTCTTCTCAAGACAATATTTAATTTCCTCTTCTCATCTCAATGTTGAATTTCTCTGTTTTGTGGAAGACCAGCAACAATTCTGTTAGATCCTAAACACTTTGTAGCCTTTAACATGTTCTTTATTATTAGGAAGAACAATATCTTGACCCACTATTAAGTTTCGAGGTTTGTTTTTAAAATAAATGTTACTGTACAGATTATAGATACATACATAACAGGAGGTTATAGGAAACATATAAATAGTAAAAAGATTACTATAGTGAAGGAAATTAGAAAACCAAACATCTCAAATAGTTACCTATTTTTTATTTTTAGGGCAAGAACAGCTAAAATCTACTTATTTAGCATGAATCTCACAATATCTCACAATACTACAATTTTATTACATGTAGTCTTCATGTTGCAATTAGATCTATAGACTTGTTTGCTCTACATATCTGCTACTTTCTATCCTCTGACCTCCATCTCCTTTCTCCTCCACCCCTCCTACACACCTAGTACCTATTGTTTTGTTCTCTCTTTTTATCACTATTTGAAATTTTTGAGGGGTTTTTGCTATACGGTGTGTGTGCTTGCTAGAAAGAGAGAGACAGAGAGACAGAAAG